ATACATTAGTGTGTGGCCTTAAGCATATTCACAGTGCTTTCATCTATCCAAGGATTCGAGCCATGTAAAAAGACCAAATAACTGTATTTTGGAACAACTAAGAAAAGCTGTTTTCAAGCCTTCCTCACCAGGTGATGCTGTTGAGTAAATCTAGATTTTCAAGGCGGTTTTGAGTAAAAGAAGTAAGTAGAGAAAAACAAATCCTTTTCTGATGCAGTTTATTGTAATGGAAGTTTGTTTTTTCCCACGCCAGAAGAGAGAAAGTGCTGCCAGACTGTAGAGAACGAAACATGGTCTTTTGTTGTTTTTGTTTGTAAAAGCCAGAAAGAAATAAACCAACCTGCAAAGTTAAGTTCGCATTCCAGCATGCCCGCTGGTCTCTGGCTGGCAACAACCAGAATCCTAGCGTCCCTTCAATAAGAACTACAAGGAATGATAGGCGGTTTGCCTTGCTCCTTTAATGAAAGAGAATCAAAATAAACAGAACCTGGCTGTCAACAGTCACTACAATCTCATTTCTGTCATAAAGTCAGGGCTGTGGCAGGTCCACAAGGGGTTGCCAGGGGGGTTTTCCTACCATCATATGTCTCCATGTCCAGTGCCGGCCCAGTAGAACCCCGTCCAGAGGCAGTGTCTTGGAGACCACAAAGGTGGGCCGAATCCTGGGGAAGCCTCTGTGCCGCTGCTGAGGGGGGGTGCTGTCCTCCTGCAGGGCCCTTGGCACAACCACCTGCCACTGTGTTCTTCCTCCAGGTGTCACCTGAGCACCTGAGCCCACATTTTGGTTGTCTTGTGTCAAGGATGAAAGGCGGGGTGGGGTCGGCTTTGGGGAAATAAGGCCTCTACGTGCAGATCTATGCATCCCAAGTGAATGCAGGCTGGCACTCCTCTTCCACAAAAATGCCTGCCCCCTTTTTTTGCAGCAAAGCGGATCAGTGGGGTGCAGCGATGCAGGAGAACCCCCTCTCAAACCATCTGTAGTAGAAGGCCAGACCCAGGAAGCTCTTCAGGTCCTGCAGAGAATCAGGTTTGGGCCAATCCTTCACAGCTTGCACTTTCTGGTGCTGATACCCCCTCCCCCCAATCTGTGGCCCAAGAAGGTGACCTCACGCCTCAGGAAGCAGCATTTCTGGGGATGTAGTTTTAGTCCTGCCGCCGCCACTCTCTCCGCTCCGCTTGAGCGCCCTGAGAGCTGACTCGAAGGAATCACCATGGACCAGAATGTCATCAAGGTACACAACACACTCTTGGCGGGGAATGTTAGCAAGTACCTTGTCCATCAGTCTCTCAAATGTGGCTGGGGCATTGTAGAGGCAGAATGGAAGGACTTTAAACTGCCACAAGCCGCCGCTGGTGATGAAGGCGGTCTTGGGTCTGGCCTCAGGACTGAGGGGGACCTGCCAGTACCCACTACGCAGGTCCAGAGAGGACAACCAGGACGACCCTGCCACAGTGTCGAGGGCCTCGTCGATGCGTGGGAGGGAGTAGGGGTCTTTTTTAGTCACCTTGTTAAGGGGTCTGAAATCCACAAAAACCGCCAATCCTCTTTCAGCTTTTTAGGGGCCATGATGACCGGGGAGGCCCAGGAGCTTGTGGAGGGCTCGATGAGTCTGGCCTGCTGCATCTCACGGAGGGCTTTGTCCGCCACGGCCTGCTTGGCTAGGGGGAGGCGTCGAGGTCTCATCCTGATGGGCTGTGCATTTCCAGTATCGATGTCGTGCTGGATCAGGTCTGTCCGGCCCACATTCTCCTCAGACAAAGAGAAACACTGCTTGAACTCGAGCAGCAGCTGCCACAGCAGACCCCGTTTACCAGGGGTCAGTCCATCACAGTTTTTCTGCCAAACCTACCTCACAGCCCGGGTTTGGCCCACTACCACAAGCCGTTCCAGCTGTCCATCAAGTTTATCTGCCAGTTGCTCTGTCCCTGCTTGGTTGGAGTTTTGCTCTGCTTCCCCACTTGCGGTCCCCGATGCGTTTCCCTGATTCTGGGGTGTGCGGGGGCAGTGTCGGACTAAGGAAAATTGTCCCCTGTGTTTCGAGTTCGCGGTCTGAGTTTCCATGTCTGTTTGTTGTTGTCTGTGATTTGTCAAACACAGGTTTCAATTCAATCAATTCAATTCTATTTTATTTGTATAGCGTATAGAGAGATGAATACCCAGTTATATCTATCGATCAAGCCTGATTAAATTAATCATTTGCTAAATTACAGCATGTCTTAAGGAACATAAAATCCTGGATGATTTTACAATTTTCGGATATTAAACTCCCCACTATCAGGAATCTTGGAGTTATCTTTGATCAGGATTTGTCATTTAATTCCCACCATAAAGCAGACCTCTAGGACTGCCTTCTTTCATTTACGTAATATTA